CCTGTTGTGTCCACTTCTTTAGGCTACAAGAAAAGTGATGACTCAAGAATGGAATAATAAAATGTCATTAACAGCACACAATAACAATAAATCAAAACAATCAAAAATAAAAAAGGTGAATGGAATAATTGGTGACAGGAGAAACACCAACTGTCTTTGCTTTCAGACTCTACTAATCTTTTGCCAGTAAACAATTAAATAAATAAATAAATAAATAAATAAATAAATAAGGCATGGAGAGCTGTGAGAGTCCCGGGGGGGGGGGGGCAGGACTCAATGTCTTTGTGGGGTGCACAGGCTACATGTCCACTATCCCTGGTGTGAATGACTTGACTATTAAATACTGTAATCATGGCTTTACTTAAGATGCATTAGCTGTTTTTGTTTTGTTTATTTGTTTGTTTTAAATAGAGGGGCATTCATCATTCATTATCTTTATTTTCATCCGAAACTTCTGGGAGATTTTGAGTTGAAGGGGGGAATACAGTCATCACTCCATTTTTGCAGGGGATCAGTTCTGCTTCTCACTCCCACCCTGCAAAAATGGAAATCTACAAATATTCAAGGCCCACAGGCTTGAATGGCCATGCACTCCTGCATGTGGCTCTGCATGTGCACCATGGGTGTTTGCACCATTTTAACCCTCCCTGCTTGCTGGTCTGCAAAGGACTGAAACTGCGGACCTGAAGTCCACAAAAATGGAAAGATTAGTCTGTTTGTTTATTTATGCATTTATATACAACCTTTTGTAGCAAAAAGAGCCTTCAAGGTGATTTATAACAGCAGCAGTAGCAACAACAGTAAGCAGTTAGAAAAATACCAATAATGAGGTCCCTAAAGAATTAACATTTAGCATTGTACAGTTAACATTGCAAGAATTACCATGCATTCCTGCCCCATTAACAATAATTCAATTTCTTGATTATTATTGATTTTTAATGAATTGGTGTCATTATCAAACATAACTCAGGTTATGGTGGGAGGGATTGTTGGTTTTGAGATATTATGTAAGATTTTATGGTTGTGAGCCACCCTGATTGGTTTTCTAAAGGGCGGGATATAAATAAATTATTATTATTATTATTATTATTATTATTATTATTATTATTACTAAGTTGGATTCTACTTAGGGTTGCCAGGTGAAATAAAGGACAGATGTTTCTTGATGGTTGTGTTAATGGTTGTGTAGAACAGGGGTAGACAACCTTTCCCCTTTAAGGGCCGAGGGACTTCAGCTCCCAGAATCCCAGGAGCTATTGGCCAACATGGGACTATTGGCCAACATGGCTGAGGCTTCTGGGAGCTGAAGTCCCTCGGCCCTTAAAGGGGAAAGGTTGCCTACCCCTGGTGTAGAAGATGGAATTTCGGTGGGTGTTGCTTCTCATTTGGCCACCAGGGAAAACAGGATATTGGGCTGGATAGGTCTTTGTGAGCTTGCATATGATGTTGGGAACAGCTGACTTCCTGTTTCCTGTGAAACTTGGTGGAAATACCTCTACTCTATACTTCATAACAGTAGAACTTACAATTGCTGTATCCATATTTTTGTCTCCTAAGGGCACTTTCTTTGGAAAGAAAGTCAGTGACATTCACAGTGCACATGAAGCCAACTGTATTTCAACAGTCATCAAGGGGCTGTTTAGTTTTTTATGAGCAGGAATGTCTGGGGGAAAGTTCAGCAACCCAGCTCACTGTTTCAAAGTTAATGGCAGAGTCAGTGCAAACTGTTAGCTACTGTGAAGAAAATGAGCATTTAATTCAGAAGTCTTTTGTCTGAATCTGTTGTAAATTTCCTCCCAAGAAAAGAGCAAGTGGTGGGGGGTTTATTTTATTTTTATTATTATTTTTTCCATGTGTGATCCAACTTTGTCAAAATATCAAGGTCATTCCTATATGTCTTTTGCCTACTTGCTCTATAGCTAACACATCTCTTCTTTAGTGTAGGAAAGGCAGACAGCATGAGAAAAAATGAAGCAAATGGTGCCCCAGGCTATCACCTATGTCATTTGTATGAATCTTCCACCCATGAAGCATTTCCAGGAAGAGTAACTAATCTAGTTCCTGCATTGACTGGGTTTTCTTGGGTACAGCTCTTCAACTGTAATACTGGGGGATGCTCTAAACATTCTAAAAAAGGAGCTTCCAGTAATATAGGAAAATATATAGGATATAAAAAAAGGAAGTGGCATAAATGGCAAAACTGTTTACTAAGATAAAAAAAAGCTTTTTTAAATTGTGGTGTTTTGGGATGGGGAGGTGAGGGGAACAAACTTTAAAGGTGCTTATTAGAAGTCTTAGGGATGTCTCATCCACACAGTCACCATGAGTCAGGATCAGTTTGAAGGTGGTTAGCAACAACAACAAAATACAAAAGCTCTTGAAGCTACTTACCTTCAGGTTTTCTGAGTTAACACCCTCTTTTTGTTGTTATTTGTTGTCAAATCATCTTTGTCTTATGGCAGCCCTAGGACAGAGAGACCTCCATGAGGCCTGGTCATCAACAGCCTTGCTCAGATCTTGAAAATCCATGGCTATGGCTTTTTTAAAATTGAATTAATCCATATGGCATGCAATTTTTCTACTGCCTTCCACATTACTGAATGTTTTGGGGGGGGGGGGTTTCACCCCAAGACACTTTATCTTGTGATATGTCCAAAGTATAATAACCTCAGTTTAGAGTTCAGGCTTGATTTGATTCTGTTTAGCCCCATCAAATTTACATTTGAGAGAGAGAGAAAGAGAGAGAGGTTTTGATCTCTTAATGCTAGAAAAAAAGGGGAAGGATTGGAAAAAAAACTGATTTCCAAATCTCCATTTGTATTTAGGGTCTGGAAGTTATTGGACTAGGTGTGAATGAATCTGTATAGAACTGCAGCTGGATCCAAATTACCAGACAGGGATCTGAACTGAGAACACTTGTACAGCCCTAACAGAAAGCTAAAAAAACCTGTATCTAAATGATTATTTGAATTAAACCCTTCAAAACTGAATAAATGCACATTATTATCACCATCCTTTTCACACCTCCTCTCCACCATTACACCACACTCTCATTTCATATTTCTTTGATATGCAGAAGCAACTAGAGATGATTGAAGCCCTGTGCTTAAAAATAATAGCACCCAAATGCATTTTCAGAAAGCAGGGACACTTTCAGTTGAACAACTTGTTAATTGCAAGTATACCTGGACTTGGCACATCAGCACCTGCAGGCACATGATGAATTTTATTGATACACACCAGTGAATTAATAGTCTCAGCATGGGTAGCATTTCTCCATTTCATGCATGCATTCACATCTTTCTGTTACTTGTTTCTGAATGGCTCAATATTCATTGACTTTCAGTTGAGGCTGGAAAAGGGCAATATTTTTAAAGGGAATTATAAGTGGCATTGCTGCAGTTATTGTATTGTAAACATGACATTTCTTTTGTGTTCTTGTTGCTGAGCTGCTTTAAAAAAATTTGCTACTGAGACAAGGAACAACACCCTGCTCACCCCATCTCATCCCATTCAATTCTATCCTGCATACAAGAGCTTATTGGACTGAGTGATGAATCTTACATTAGCCCTGGTGATGGTACAATGTACACCACTGCTTTTGTGGTCAACAAGCTAGTTTAGAAAGTCTAGGCAAAGTTATGTGGCAGACACAGCTTTGTGTAGAAACATCACACTATGCCTTTTCAACCTCTGTTGCCTGAGATTGTTGCCTCAATTTACCTAGTTTTTGGGCTGACCTTGATTGATCAAACAGATTTATCAGTTATGAAAGCAATACAAGACCTGCAAATTCTGTTTCTCATGAGGAAAAGTGAATAATTTTCATAGTGTTCACAATGTTTTGGGAACAAAAACAAGTCTTATTGCCTTTAGTCTAAATAAGCAGACTGTGGAGCTCAGAGACACACACCCCTGCACATATAAACACACACACTTTCCTTGCCCCCCCCCCCCCCCCTTTTCAGGCTGTTAAAAGGACAGCTTTTCAGGAATTGAATGGAAAATTTCTGTGAGTTGGGAACAAGACTTGCTGGACCTTTCTCAGGGGGGTTGCAGACTGTCAGAAATAGTGCAAATTGAGTCTACTTTTA